TCTCTCTCTCTCTCTCTCTCTCTCTCTCTCTCGCTCCGTCATTCACTCACTCACTCACTTTTTCGTTTTGAGCATACGAAAAACGCTTTACCTCATAGGCTTGTCAACAGAAACATTATTTTCTGTATTTTTAACAGATAATATTGTGCAGATTTTTATTCATTTCTGCTTTTTACGCCTATGCTTCTGTGCAACATGATCTTCTATCATCAATTACCCTGTGCCAGATCTGGGACAGACATCGGCGATCATGTTTCTCCTTTCATTCTTCTATATATGACTTTATTTGTTTAGATTGTACACATAGTAAGGCATAAAAGGTAAATGTGTGTTTGTACTTTCATGTTAGTCATTTGATCATTTCTTGTATTATCTATCTCGTTGTATCTTTTCCGACTTCATTTTTTTTTACCTCAGTTTACTGTGTCACTTGCATCTTGTCTTACTGACTGCATTCTGTTTGGTCCTGTTTAATCTTATCTCCTCTCTCTTGTTTTTTTGTTTTTTATCCTATTGTATCAATTTTCTTTTCTCAGCGAGAGGTCGGAGGGCGCCACTGGCAGGTCCTACTTCTTTACTTTCCCTCTGTTGTTTCTGTTTGTATGTCTTACTTTTTCCCAACACTAAATAACCATCTTGTGCTGGGGGCTCTCGTGGCCTAGAGGTTAAGGTGATCATCTCTCCTTCAACTATAATAGGTCCCTGGTTTGAATCCGGATAGCGACGAAAATATTTATTTAAAATTGTCTACTTTCATCTCCTTTCCTGCTTTCTAGCAATATTCTTTCATCTGCTTTCGCCTCCACTTTCAGCCCCCACCCCCTCACCTCCTTTGCCCCCTCCTCTGGGCGCCTGACTCTTTCTACCGCCTTTCTGCTGCTACTTCTTGCATTGCCTCCTTCTTACTGCTGTCTTTCAGCCACACTCATTTTGGAAAGAAAGATCTACACCTAGCTTTCTCAGACAAGGGCGAAAAACCTCGGAGGTACCGTGTACAAGTTTCGCACGTTAGAGATCCCTTGGTGGTCCCAAATCGATAAGAGTACGTTCCGGCTGCCACCCGGGCAAAATTCAAAATGTCCTACTAACTGAAAATGTTTGGTGTGTCCCGCGCGCTCATATGACCTTTTGATGTAGTTTCAAGCGCGGTAAAACACTTACCAGAAGAAGAGGAAATTCTGGTGCTGGTGTGCTTCTCTTGAACGCTTAAACAAACTATGAAACAGCATTTCTCATTTTGCTTTATCTTTTCTGATCTTGTTTTGTTTCATCTATTTTATCTCATCTTAATTTGTTTTCATCATTTTATTTTATCTTTTCTTATTTTGTTTTGTTTCATTATATTATGTTATTTTGTCTCTTTCATTTTTCCCTCTATCTTACTTTGTTTGGTATTGTCAGGTCTTTATCCATCTCACCTGCTTTCCTCTTGAAAAAAAAGAAAGGTGATCTGAACATTGTATGGATTAAATTATATAATTTAACGTAGGCCTATTCATACAAGGTATCTGATCCCATACAATCAGCGGGTTCCAAGTAGTGTTCTTTTAGTAATTTTGATTTATAATAATATTGCTCCATTTATTATTTTAATATTATTTCATTATTTTACTCAAATCAATTCTATTGTTTATGTATTGTTTTTTATATTGATG